GGCGACCGGGAGGGGCTGTGCCCTTTCCGAGGCCGCTCTCCCTCCCACGTGGGTGCCCGCCCCACCCGCAAGCTTATCCCACGGGTCCTGTCACCTCCGGTACCCGCAGGAGCAGGTCTTACTCCTGGGGCCCAAATGAGGGTGCAGGTGGCAGAGATGCAGTGAAAGGGCAGAACTGGGGTTCAGGAGGCACAGCGGCGGTCACTGCGAGGTAGCCCCAGAGTGAGGCAGGGGCGCCTCTCAAATGCCACTTAGCACCCGGGGGTGTGAGCCTGTGCTCGTTCCAGGTGTGGGGTCTGGGTGGCAGAGATGTCTGCTAGCTCAGGGCCTACCGCGCCCAGGGCACAGGATTCCCGCTTCCTCTGGTTTCTCAGGGGTCACGGCGGCACCCAGGCGGCTTCGCACAGACGCGCCCACAGACGCGCCCACAGACACGCCCACAGAGGTGCCCACAGACGCGCCCACAGAGGCGCCCACAGACGCGCCCACAGAGGTGCCCACAGAGGTGCCCACAGACGCGCCCACAGACGCGCCCACAGACGCACCCACCTCTGCAACAGGTAAGTCCTCAGGGCTCACCCTGCTGTCTGGGGTCCGAGGCACGTGGACGCCTTCTTTTATCTTCACCCAAGGAAATGCTTTTTGATTTTAGAGAGAGGAGGGGAGAGAGAGAAACACGGGTCAGCCGCCTCCCGTATGCGCCCCGACCGGGAGTCGAACCCACGACTTTCTGGTGCAGGGGACGTGGTTCCAACCCACCGAGCACCCAGCCAGGCCGTGGGCCCTCCCCTCCTTTCTCCCTTTCATCCGATTTCTCCATTGGATTCACTTGTCTCTTTCACCAATTTGCATTATTAAAAAAACCCCTTATTTCTGCCTGAAGACAATGGGAGTACCCTGAGTAGACAGATTTTTAGAGAGACGAGCGGAGAGAGAGAAATGTCGGTCGGTTGCCTCCCACACGCGCCCTGACCGGGGCTGGGGTCAGACCTGCAACCCGGGTTCGCGCCCTTGGCTGGGCCTTGAACCCGAGGCCCTGTGGTGCGAGGGCCGGGGCCAGGCCGCTGGCTGATTCCTGGCTGTGCCCTGACCGGGGTCGAGCCCGCACCGTGGGGCATCCGGGCGATGCCCAACCCCTGGGGCCAGGGCCGCCCCTAGTTTAACTTCCACGTTGGGGGGTAGAGGAGATGGCCCACCCCCGGCCCTTCCTCTTTGTGACCCCAGAGCCCCCGGGGTATCGCCATCCCCGCCTCCCCCGCCCACCCGGGGGTCTCCACCTCAAGCTCACAGCTTCCCCGCCCAGAAGCCACGGCCGGGCCCCGGTGTATCGTGGATGAAGCGGAGGGGAAATAACCGTACACGGCGGGCGCCCGGGCGTGGGGAGGTCGAGGGCTCCTGGAGGGTCAGAGGGCGATCGAGTCCCCCCCCAGAGTAGCCTCTTCTTCCTCCGTCAGCCCAGTGACCCGGCAGCGCCCGCCGGGCGGCGGTTCCAGGGCCCGCGGGGGGCGTGGAGGCGGCTGTGGCAGGGAGCCGGGCCTGTGGAGCCCTGACCCTGGTGCGGGGGCCTCCAGGAGGGACACCGGGTCTCGGGGGGCACCCGGCTGTGGAAGCCGGACCTGGGCTCTGTCACCAGCTCCCGTCCCTCTTCACTCCCAGGTCTCGCCCGTCAGTCCCACGTGAAGGGCAACCTGGTCCAGATATGCCTCGGGGCTGTGATCCTCCTCCTCCTGGTGGGGATCCTGGTGGAAGACTGGCACAGCCGCAAGACGTGCCCCCCGGGCCGGGGCCGAGCTGCCCACAGGCCGCTCCCGCCCCTC